CGGGAGCCGCCCGCGATGCAGCCCCGGGGGGTGCGGGCTGCGGGGCCCCGGGAGCCCCCCGCGGTGCGGGCTGTGCACCGGGAGCCCCCGTGGGTGCGGGCTGTGCACTGGCGGCTGCGGGCTGAGCCCCGCCGAGCGGGAGCCTCGGCGGCTGCACGTTGTGCACCGGGACCCGGGGGGCGGCTATGACGTGCACCGGGCACCACTGGCCGTGCCCACCGGTGCCACCGCTGATGCCGCCGCTCTGCCCGCAGGGGACGGAGCGCGGGCGCCCGGCCAGCCCCGCGCCGAGCGCCGCCGCTGCGGGCCGGATGGGCGGCACGGCGGGCGCCGGGGACCCCCGGGGCGGCTGAGCCGCTCCATGGCCGCGGGCGCCTTCGCCTGGGCCTCCTTCCCGGCCATGCCCACGCGGCGCGTGTACTGCAGCGCCGCGCACCGCGACGAGCAGCTCTTCGTGCTGGGCGGCTGCGGCGGCAGCGGGCGGCCCTCGGGCGCTGCCGAGGTGCTCGACGTGCCCACGCAGCGCTGGAGCGCGCTGCCGCCGCTGCCCACGCCGCGCGCCGGCGCCGCCGCCCTGGCCCTGGGCAAGCAGGTCCTCGTGGTGGGCGGCGTGGACGCCTCGCAGAGCCCCCTCGCCTCCGTCGAGGTCTACAACGTGGACGAGGGCAAGTGGGAGAAGAAGGCGGCCCTGGCCCAGCCGTCCATGGGCATCGCTGCGGTCCAGAGAGGTGAGGGGAGCGCCGCGGGACAGCGGCACTCCAGGCGGGATGAGTTTCGCTGCCACGTGAGATGCGGCGCAAGGGCTTTGCCCTGGCACCTCCAGGCTACCCAGTTAATGGGTTGATCACTCTGCAGCCCAGCTGCCCCTTCTGGGCTCCCAGGTGCCCCATCGGGTGGCAACGGCACCACGCTGAAGGTGGCTTTGGTCATGCAGGCCGTGAAGGCCGTTGGCTCCCCGCTCCACAGCCCTGCTCTGCTGAGCCCCGTGCCCTGAGCCAGCCCAGGGCCGAGGATGCTCCTGCCCAAACTTTGCCAGGAAGCCCTGGAGCAGCAGCAGCACCGGCTGCACTGCCCAGCACAGCGCCCGCCACCTCTGCTGCCCGCACGGCTGGGCGAGGAGGCCGAGGGGCTGGCGGCCGCGGCGGGAGCCGGCACGGGGTGCCAGCCGGCGCGGGGCGAGTGGAAGCGGCATTTGGCAGCATGGCTGTGTTGCCATGGTGTCTCCAGGGAGATGGTGCTCGCCGAGTCCAATTAGAGCTGATGGTCCTGGTGCTCCCTCCCGCTTCCCCTCCCCGGGCGGCACGGCGGGGCGATCCGGGCACCGCGGCCCCGTCCCGGCATCGCTGCTCGCCCCAGCGCCGCCTGTCTCGCAGGCGGCGCCGTCTACGCGCTGGGCGGCATGGGGGCGGACACGGCGCCGCAGGCGCTGGTGCGGGTGTACGAGCCGGCCAAGGACCACTGGCAGCCGCTGCCCTCCATGCCCACCCCCTGCTACGGGGCCTCCGCCTTCCTGCACGGCACCAAGATCTTCGTCTTGGGTAGGTGCTGCGGGGTGGGCGACGCCACTCGCTCCAGGCCCGGCATGGGGGTCCCATCCCATCCCATCCCCTCCCACCCCGGGGTGCGCACACGTGCCGCAGCGTCTCCTCCGGGCGCAGGGGGCCGCCAGGGCAAGCTGCCCGTCACCGCCTTGGAGGCCTTCGACCTGGAGACGCGGAGCTGGACGCGCTACCCCGGCGTGCCCAGCCGCCGGGCCTTCGCTGCCTGCGCCATGGCCGACGGCGTCGTCTTCAGCCTGGGGGGCCTGCAGCAGCCCGGCCCCCACAACTTCTACTCGCGGCCCCACTTCGTCAACACCGTGGAGATGTTCGACCCCGCGCAGGGTGAGTGCCAGGGCCGGTGCCCGCGATGGCAGTGCTGCCGGGGCTGGCGGGCGACGCTTGAGCGCTCTGCCCTTGCCAGGAGCCTGGAGCAAGCCGAGCCGCGCCGTGCGCATGAGGGAGAAGAGAGCTGACTTCGTGGCCGGCTGCCTCGGAGGAAGAGTGGTGGCCGTGGGCGGCCTTGGTAATGCCCGGCGCGGGGGCGCGCGCCGCACGGGTGGGAGCCTCCCGTTGGGAGAGGAGAACGAGCTCTGCCCGTGGAGGGGAAAATCGATGCAGTTCGGTTCCCGTTTTTACCACCTGTTGGTTACCCGGCCGATAGTGGGGATCGTGCAGCACCCAAAATCCCTCCATCCATCACCTCCCGGCTGCTCCGGCGCCCGGGGGAGCAGCCCTGGGGCACCCCGTGCCTTGCACGGAGCCTTTCCCCCCATGGTGCCGTGCCCGGTTGCAGGGTGAAGGTTCGCGCTGTCCGTGAGCAGCAGCAGGGGTGTCCAGAGGGGCCGCTGAGGCCGCACCGTCTCGTTGCAGGCAACCAGTCGAGCCCGCTGGCCTCGGCCGAAGGCTTCAGCCTGGCGCGGAAGAAGTGGGAGCCGCTGCCGCCCATGCCCACGGGCCGCTGCTCCAGCTCGAGCTGCGCGGCGCCCGGCCTGCTCTTCGTCATCGGCGGCGTGGCGCAGGGCCCCAGCGGCGCCGTGGAGGCGCTGTGCCTGCGCGAGGCGCCCTGAGCGGCGCCCCGGCCCCAGCGCAGCACCAAGTGCCTCAAGTCGGGGACAGGGTGGCCACGTGCCCGAGCCCGGCGGCCGCGCGGAGCCGCTGCGGTGGCAGCAGCGGCGGCGGGAGCAGCGCCGGCCGGGGCAGCGCCGGCCGCAGGTTGGTGCCCCCCTTCCGCCGGCGCGGGCTGCGCGGGGCGCTGCGCGGGCGCGGGGCGCGCGACCCCGCCGCTTCCCCATGCCCAGCAGCGCCCGGCGCCGAACAAAAGCCTCGCTGTGGCGCGCGGAGCCGCGGCGTGACAGCGCAGCCACCCCAGGCCACTTTCGCCATGTTTTTGTTTATTCATGTGCCGTTCCCGCCGCCGCCGCGCAGATGTTTCCCCGATCCTCCCGCCTTCCCGCTTCTTTTCCTTCCCCCTTTTCCTCCCGAACGGCGCCGAGGCGGCTCGGAGTTAGCGCGGCGATGTGCGCAAGAATGTCCCCAAACGGGAGAGCCGCCGCCGCTGCTGTTTAGCCCGGAGTTGTCGCGGCGCGGAGCCGAGGCGGCACCGGCAGCAGCTGCTTCAAGCAGCGAGCTCGTCCTTCCCAAATGCGCCCCTCGTAACTTCGCTACGAGCAGCAGCACTCGGAGCCGGCGCGGCCGTGTGCCCGGCCACGGCTCCTTGCTTTGCCTCTGCTTTTGTGGATGACAGTAATAACAAGAATAACAAGAGCCCGAGGCGTCCGAGAACAAGGGAAGGAATAGCTGTGACACAACATGTAGGCTCCCAGATAAACTCCTGCCATCTCGGAGTGCCTTTCGATATTTGAACAGCGGCTGTTAAGTCAAATAAAATTGGTTACCATGAGAAACAACCGAAAAAAAAAAAAAGTCTAGCGGAATAGTTGAGCACGCGGGTGAAAATCTGAATGTGGGATTGTGTCAGGATACGTCAGGGGATTGAATGAGGCAGAAAATCTATTTTAGCAACAGCAGTAGTAAAACATTTAAACATTTGGGCTTCCGAGATCCTGGAAAACAACACACACAGAGTGCAGAAATAGCAGAGGTGGATGCTATGTTATTTTGATATCACATATTGAAATGCAGGGTGTTTTTTTCCCTTTGCTAATGATATTTAAATCAGCCTCTGCTTGGGGCTGGGTGCATGTTGGCCATATCAAAGCATACGCATGTAAAATTCTGCCTCTTAAAGGGCAATGGTTCTGTGTCCAGAGCCAGTGGTTAAATCAGATGTGGTAACTATGGTGAGAGGTAAAGTTACTTAGCTTCTCGCAGCCCTTTGCGTATGTGGGTTGCCTTTTGAATAATGGAGATTAAGGAGAGAAGGATTAGGGAATCTAAGGAGAAATTTGGAGCAGGAGACCTGTAGCCTTGTGCTGGGAATGAATACAGAGGAGACTTTTAGAGCAGAGGCAGGAGGGAAGTCAGCGCTGTTGTAATATGTATTGATGATAATTCGAGAAAGGAATCTTTCTGGTTGGGAATGAGTACCGGCAGCTCATGCATACAGGAATGAAACCAGTCCCCTCCATATTAAAATAATCCTTCTGCTCCAACCAAACAAATAAACAAAAGCTGGCTCAGATTTCTACATTAGCAAGTGACAGCTTAAAATAAGATGAAGTCTGAGATTCTAAGCAGTTGGGGTTAATACGTTTTTAAGTCTTTATGCAATTAAGCAATATTGATTAATTTGGATTGTGTAGCATTGCTGTTTTTAAGCATGTCCCTGATACATATTTAGGGATAGGGGTAACTTCACAAATTATGGTAATATGAAGTGGAAAACAAACCCAGAGCTTAATATTTTAACCAGTCATTATTGGGGAAGCTTGAACTGCAGCTAGCTAACTGGCCCGTTTTTCTGGTCTTCCTTGAGTTGAGGCTGCCCTGTTACCCTGAGCTTTTCAGGCAACAGGTCAGGATATTCTGCTCACCCCGCAGAGGGACAAGGGTTGTTGCTTGGAGAGCCCGACTGGACATCCATGGTTAGGTATTTGGAATATTTAGGGAAGAGAAAGGGGAGAGATCGGCTTTAATATCCAGACAGGAGGCACCATATCTCAGTGGACAGAAGTATATGGAATACTACTGTGCAGAGGCATCCTGGGGATAGGAAGCATGTCCAGCTTGCTCTTAGGAGAGTTCAAAGCTTGTTGTGTTGTAGGGAATGCCATGAAAACACCCTTAATAAAGTGTTTCAGAGGTTTGAGTTTCCATTCCATCTCCTGAAAGAAACTTGTCCTTTGAGGAGTTCACAGTTCAGCACAGGCCAGGCAGTTCATGTCAGAACCTGCAAGACATTTATATGTTCACTAGACATCCCCTATATGTTTTCCTGGTTCATAATTCCAGCTTCCTTTCTCTGCTGTTGCCAGAGCTTTACAAGAGACCTGGCGGGAAGACTCCACTGGCTCCTAGGGTGTAACTTTGTATTAAAAAATTGTGAGTGGAATATTTGGACACTAGGTGTGATGGTGAAAAATAAACTCAACCATAGTTCGTGTTCAGTACAAGTCTTTTTCACAATTCAAGTGATGAACTCAATTTATTGGTTTATGTTTTTAAGGAGTTGTTCCTTGAAGTATTAAAAGTCCCCTGGTTGCATTGTGTCTTCCCTGGGAGTGGAAGAAGCAAAAGGAGTTCCAGTTTTGTAGTTAGGGAGACAATATTTGTGCTCTAGGTGACCCTGTGTGAGCAGGGGGGTTGGACTAGATGACCTCGGGGGTCCCTTCCAACCTTAAGCATTCTATGATTCTATTTTGCTTTTTTCTTTGTTTTATTTAGCTGAAGTTGACATTTGAACAGAATATTACATTTCTCTTTCATTAGCAATAATGAATTATTAGACTAAAGTGTTTATTTACATAAAAATTGCCATTTCATATAGAAGCAGAATGCTTCTGTAAACTAAACCAAAATTTGGATATAGCTACTGATGCATGGCAGTTCATTTCAGTGTTCAATGTATTTTTAAATTGTTTCATCATTCTGCTTTATTAGGTTGTACTATATTGAAGAGTGAAAAACGTGATATTTCAGGCCCAGGACAAAATGCAGCCTAATGGACAGGACAGTGGAATCTGCTCAAACAGCCTTTGCTTTGCTATTGGATTAGGGCAAGTCAATTCACCTCCTTTTTCTGTTTTCCCAAACTGTAGAAGGAGTCCAGTGGTAATTCCTTTTTAGAGTACTTCAATATCTCATGGTGAAATTTTGAAATAAGCAATATTCTTAACGTGCTGCGATGGTTCCTTGTCTGATGGGGCCACACATGACCAGCTGATGGTGGATACTTGAATAGCTGCTTTTCATTTGCTTCAAAAGTCATTCTGGATTAAAAAAAATAAGTCACTAGTGATTTAATCATAAAGTCTGTCCAGAAGAAGTCCAGGAATAGTGCTGACTAGGTATTTCCAGCTGCTTAGTGCATTGATGTTAAGCATTGACAGAGTATCGGTCTTCTTATATTAAAATTTAGGAGAAGATCCAGGCCTAAATTGATTTGTTCAGCTGTTCTGCTGGGACTGAGCCAACAGTGTAGTTTTAGCAGCATCTTAGAATGTTAGGGAAAAAATACAGGAACTGCCCTTCTCGCCAGTGACACTGTTTATGTTAAGATTTTGGAACTTTTGGCCCTCTAAATGGTATTTGTAGATGGCAAAAACAAGGAGCACAGCATTAAAAAATAGAGTACAAACAGCTATGTTTGTGCTCCAACAGCTGGGCAGTTTCACTCAAGTCCTTTGGTCTCCTGAAGTGAATAAGGGTTTTTGGGATTAAAGTTTACAGTATTTATCTTGTTCTTTTTGAATGTAGTCCTGGGAATCCTCCAGTGCAGTGGAAACTCTGAAGTGCTCTCAGATCTCTAGAGACGTTTCTCACTTCATTTGCACATCATATAAAGCTCTATGTAAATTGGTTTCAGATGGAGTGTGGGATATATGGGGTAATTTAAGTGAGGAAAAGTGTGAAAGACGAAGTTTAGAAAGAATTAGTGACCTGTTACCCTGCACAGGTTGGTTACAGCTGTTTACAACGGCACTTAATGTTTAAGATTTGCTGCAATCAGTGCAATCAATGCAGAAGTTGTCAGATAGGAGCAGTTAAACACTAAATTTGACGGTCAAATTTAAGCAATCATAGTTTGAAATATAAATTGCATCTCAAAGTACCCTGATCGCTTATTCTGCTTCAAATATTAGTGTCTTTATAGATGGCAGAATCAGGACCTTGTTCCTGCAAGTGGTCACCTGTTCTTCCCTGCTCTCTGATGGAGTTGAAAGATCCCCAAACTTTCAGAAATACAGTTCTGTTTTGTTGTTCAAAGAAGCAAAAATTTTGTTTTAAAAACTTAAGGAACTTGGAAATGAATTTCTGCAGCAGTCTTCTGTTTGATAGGAACATTTTTTCATCTGCAGAACAAGCCAATATGGCTTAGTTTTCAAAATTTGTTTATACAATGGTATTTTCTGTCTGCACAGTGCCTGGAATATGTCTGAGCACATAAATAATAGGATAAATAATTTTTTTTATATCCAAACAGCTTCTGTTTATGTTTCTCAGTAAGTAGCATGTGTGTGTGGAGAGGGGGTTCTTCGAGCTGTGCGTGCGCTCTGGCAAATGATGGGTTTTGTTAAACTGGGAAATCTTAGGGCTCCTTCAACTGTGTGAAAGTTTCTCTTTAAAACAGTTAACATTAGGTGATTCCTCTTGGTGGAAGCCCTTATAACTTATGCAAAGGTGTTTGTGCGTTTTGTGCCTTTCTCGGATAACCTGTCTTGGGGCTTGCGAGCAAAATTAACCTGTGGTCAGAGCCATGTGAATTCGTAATCCCAGAGCAAACTGGAGTTTCTTCGCTGCGTCTTCTGGGGAAATGGTGGCAGTCTGAGAGCTTTTGCATCCCCCCTCTTGGTACAGCTGCCCAGTCTTCCCTCACTTCCCTCTGCTGCTTCCTGATGCTCCTCCAGAAATAGCAAGGCATGACGTTTTCTTGCATCTCCCCTTGAAT